CCGCCTGATCTGCTGAGAGAATCAGAAGCTTTCCTAGACGAAGGCATGATCGAGGAGTGTTATAGTTTTTCCCTATATATGATGCTGAATTTCCATTTCTTCAGTAATTCGCAAATCTTTTCCGACAGCTGGCAGGGGGATAACGTTGGGAACCTGTTCCATCATAAATAGTTGTTTCCCTTCATCGCGTTTTTTAGTATAGTAAAATTATGTACAATTGACTGCTATGAATAAGAGTTCGGAACTAAACATTTTCACGTTGGTACACAGAGAAACTGGGTTTCGATTAATCCTCTCCTCGTCCAGACGATCCAGTTTCGAGGACGATTTTTTGCTTTGTTGCCACAAAAAGTTGCTCTGATCTCGAATGAACATCTCATCTGTGTTGGACTCATTCCGTACTGGTTCTTCTTATTGATCCAAATTGCATAAAGTGGATCAACAATCTTTGAGTTTGTGCACTTTTTTTTCATAATCGCAATTGGAGGAGGTTGATGCCAGAACCAGAGAATCTGGAGTGCACATTAACCTGCCTGCTTGACTTGGGCTCAGCTGAAGCTTGATAAAACGGCCATCACAGTTACGGGTGTCTACAGCGCATGAGCTGTCACTATGCAGTGAAAACATGGTACGATCGAAGGAGTGAAGAGGCCGTAGGCGATGAGCAGGAACGTCTTTCGTCGACAAGTGGACCCGATCGGCAGTGCCGCCCCTCAAAATGTGATGTCTTCTTCTTGGTTCACTGGTCCACTTTGTCATTGATGGTCCAACACTGCGGGAAAATATTCCACAATCTGTTCGTCTCTTTTTCATTTTTTCTCAACGAAAGCCCAAAGGCTGCCATAGCAACATCTTATTGCCTACCCATCTCAACCTAGAATAGACTCTATCTCGATCCTCTCTTTGGTATCTTCGTAATGTAGCTGGACTTTGATTAATCTCCTGAAATACCAATGCTGGATGAACGTTAGGCATAAACATGTCTGTTTGATGAAGCGATTCATAA